GAATTCACCTAAAAAGGTGAAGAAAGAGGTAACAAAATGAGGGCAATAAAGGAAAATGAATAAACACTGTCACAACGCACACAAGAACAGATCAAAAAAACTAGGTGCAAAAATCCAAGAGGAAGACAACCCAAAAAGAGGTAAGTCAGCCAGCTGTACTTTGATCCCAGTCTATTATTTCACCTATTGATTTGCGTTTTTTCCTCATAGTTACAAGCATAACATTTTTTATTTTCAACAATAATATAGTTAAAGACTACTAAAAAATACTGTAATTAAGGAAGTAGCTTAGGGAGAATTCCACATTCTCAAATGCTAGTTTTTGACAAATAATGCATACATCTTTGAAATGTAGAGCACTTACTCTGGCATCTTTATCTCCAATAAGGCAAACAGCACGTAATGATGGAACCCAGCGTTTGAATTCATTCATCCAATTGTGCAAAGTTGATTTTGGAACCAGGACCATGTGTGGCCCAGGAATGTTTCGGTAATGCTTCAGATAGCCTAATAATGCTATTGTTTGCAGAGTCTTACCAAGACCCTGCATTGACAAAGAGAGGGGGGGAAAGAAACCTGCTGAAATGAAGTACCATACAGAAATAGTTTCAAGCAATTTTCCTACTATATAATTCTACCACTTAAGTTGTTTAAAGCAAGCTACACAGCAAATGTTGGCAATACAATTTCTTTCATTGCATTACAATGCCAGTTGTGAAAATTCTAAAATTCTACTGCACATACATTAAATATTGTAGGCAATTTAATGTTGAATTTTGCTCAAGAATTACCACAAAAATTCCAAAAGATTACTGCTTACCATTTCATCTGCCAGAATGCCATTAACACCATTTTCATACAATGAGATCATCCAGTTCAAACCTCTAACCTGATAATCTCTTAGTGTTCCTCCTTTCACATCTGTAAATGTAAGATTCCTCTAAGTAGAAAAATACTAATTCTAAGTTGAAAATTTTAATTGCGATCTGCTCAGATTTTAATTACATCAAAGCAATCAGAAAACTGTCAATACAGGACTTACATGAAGGAGACTCCTCAAATCGAATACACACATTAGAAGTTTTTCGAGACTCTGACAAAAGCTCTTCATCTTCTTCTTGTTCTGTGCGCCTGTGACGATAACTAAAGAAAGAATCCAAGATTCATGTTTAGATGAAATCATTTCAAAACACTGACTATAAAATCAAGAGAGACAAATTATAACAGAACAATCATTGATCTACAATGCATGTGTTCTAGTACCCTGACCAAAATCATATCCTGTTAACAGGTTATTCCTTATGGTTCGTTCCAGCTTCAGTCAGAAAGGCTGATAGGAAGCCCTCTCCTCCAGAGCCACAACTGTACTCTGACAACAAGTATCATGAGTTCTTTAAGGTACTTTTTAATGAGCAACACAGAAATACAAGATACACATCAGTGGTGGCCTTAGAATCAATTACTTGATAACTATGCCATTCAGAAGAATCACATATTCAATTAAAAAGATTTTTTTTTAAAAAAAATTGTAAAATAGAGAATGCCATTTTGTAAATGTTCCAAAAATTAGTTGCAATTGGTGCAGAGGATCCAACATCCACACTAGATGCACGTTGTCTTGTTTTAACTTGGTCTAACTCCACTCTGGTCCCGCTGACATGTCCACTAGCAGCTGGAGCACATCATGTGCATTTCTGGAGTGCACCTTCTAGTTCAGCATTATGCAAACAAAATTCAATTTGTTTGTTCCAAAATCACTCCCAATATCGACCAAAGCATGGTAAGTGGCACTTTAAAAGTGCATTTCTGATCCAAGGTTGTACTAATGTTGATGGATCAGCATGCATACATCAACCAGCTTTTAAAGAAATTATGATACACCGTATTTTATTTCCAAGAAGCTGGAAATAAAAATAAAACATACTCCCCAGCTGAAATCAAACTCTGTTTTTCATCTTTCTTCATCCGTGGCCGTCCCAGCTTGACTTTCAATGGAGATGTTGGTGATTTCTGTGCTGCAGGCTGAATGAAGTGCGCAAAAAGTTCTGTCTGCTTCAGGAGGAATTCAAACCTTTTTGCTCGATCTGCTTTCTAGTTTCAGAAGTGGGGAAAGAATTAAAAAAGAAAAATTAATAACTTTTCTTCATTAAAAAAATGTATTTTTATTAAGAAACAGAATTCAGACACTCGTGATAACAACTTCTATAAGGAAAAACTGAGAAGACCATCTGCCTACTGTTAGCCAACTCGGGGGGCTACAAGCATCATGAATCAGCTCTTGAGCTGCTTCAGCTTACAGCCAAGCATGAATTGCTTTAGAGCACCCAGATGTAACGTGTGGTAGTTCAAGTGATCCTTCATGAATACCACAGCAATCTGGAAGACATGGCAGAACTTGATAACCTCATCCCAGCAACTCATCCCTATTCAAAACTCAAAGATAGTAAAATAACCAAGACAACAATGCAGTGGCTCTGCTGTTACAAATATGACTAATGTAATGGACGCACCAGCTCAATACTGCTTTCATTGATGTTTGTGAAGTTTGAAATCTGACAGCAAAATTCAATCATTTCAAGTTTTGCCATATCAGTGAGGCATATGCATGCCACTATATAAACACAGCAAAACATAAGTCCTTCTCTATATCTAAAAGACATGTTACATAATTTTTAAGAAAAATACGATAAAATGCTATCTGACAGAACGCAATTGTTATCAGTTTTCCCGTACCATTTCTAAGCATCATGTAACACCGTACCAATTTTCATGTGATCTCATTTATATATCTTGACATGCACTACAAAAGTGAAATTGTAGTTCTGTACCATAACCTTTCTAAAAAATACACAAACCACAGAAAACTTTTTGGCAGGTAACTTATTTGCAAGTAAAGGTGCTCTAACAGCAATGACACAAACCAAAGAAAAAGGCAATGAACCTGATGTGCAATGCATGATCTTGCCACATGAGGGCAGTGCATTTCTTTTAATAGGGCACCACTTCCCAGCAAATAAACATATTTACAAAGATCTGGAAAAAAAATTACTATTATTTTTCCCTTGCATTCATTATTGGACCATTTTTGTAAATAACTTGAAAACCAAATATACTGTAAATATCAAGTAAAAGTTTTAGGCAAAAAAAATTCTAAAAGAGGGAGTAAAGACATGGATGTTCACGCTCGTACAGGATAAGAACGAATCTATTCAGAGCATTTATATTAAACTAATAATACATGATGGTTTTGGCAAGCTAGCTGTAACTGGTAAGGCTCTACACTGAATGCCACAATATCCTTTTTTGCCTGCAAAATCACTGGCTGGGTGTAAGCAGCATGCCTTGATAAATTGTAAAGGTCTAGCTCACGACTGCACAACTGATGAAAGGTAGATTTGAGACCTATTCCCTTTGCCTCTTAGAAAAGCTGAACTAGTGTTCTAGTTTAGGAAAAATATAAATTCACCATGTATGACTGTGAAAACAAGTTTAGTTATTTACTCAACTCATTGTCAATGAACAGATTTACTTGTGTGTCTTTTCCAGCTAAAAATTAAGTATTCATACAGGTATCATTTTTTCCATGTCTTAACAGTGGTACTCTTCCCTGACTTCTATGGTATCCAATCCTTTCAGACTCTACCATAATCATCAGGCATCCATTTAATGTTAAAGCTTTTAAGAAAAATGCAGCAAGATTCAGATACCAGCTTCAACCAAGAACTTATTACACACGTCATTCAAGAACAAGTCTTATAAAGTCCTCCTGGTTTCTGCCTCTTTGTAATACAGAAGTCACCCTGTTATCTCTCCTCTTCAACCCTACAAGCTGTCTTCATTTGTGCCATGCACAGATCCTCTTTTGCATTGTAATGACACATATATTATGGGGCATATCAACATTTAAAACCTTTATGTTTTTATATGATGAGAAACTGGCAGCTTCAATATTTCTCTCATTTAACAAGTAGCTTAAGGATGCCTCTGACATGACCCAAGGGGTCATCAAATAAAACTAGCAGAGACAGATTCAAAACCAAAAGGGAGAGTTCTAAATATAAAAAACAATTTAATAGAAACTCCTTACCACAGCAGGGTGTGGATAACTAAACCTACATGAGGGGATAAAAAGCAAGCAGACAAATCCATGGAGGGAGAAAAAAAAAATCCACTGAAAACTACTGAGTATAAAAAATACAGCCTCCAACTCCAGAAATCATGCAGACAAAAATACTTGGAAGTGGAACAGTATTTAACAAAACTATTACTGTCTGCTTCCTCTGTTCTCGTATTCTTCACTAAATACCTGCTGTTAGCCACTGTGACAAACACCACACTGGACTAGACATGCAAATGACTCTTGATTTGTTTTGCTTTTCTGACACATCCAGTCTGCAGTAACTCCTGGTAACTGTTGATCCTAGTTCAAGCAAAAAACCAAATGTCATAAAAAGCTGCAGTATGTTTTGCCGTGAAAACACTTACCATCTTCTCTTCATATTCTGGGTCAACTTCTTTTTCAGGTCTAGCTGCCTTTGGAGGAAGTTTGAGTTGAAATGGGGGATCATTTTTCTGGAATGCAAATGTTAAACACTTTATAAATATCAGCTTCTTTATTTACTAAAGCAAAAAGATATCACACTCAACAAACCTACACACTACAAGATAAACATGCTACTTTTTAAAAATAATTATTTCAAAATGAAGTGACTGCATTAATCATATTATTTCACCCACAACAGAACCTGATATCCATGATGAAACTAAAGAGGAGGTATGACCAGATAAAATACAAGTTGAAGATGTGTCTCATGCTTATATTTATCTCCACAAATAGGATCCAAGTTGAAAGCACTGAAAAAAAGTACTGAAAGAGGATGAAGCTTAAGCTTTCACAGAAATCTTGCTTTAAATGCATAGTTAAATTTAATAAAGATATTTTTAAAAATTAAATGTGATTTCTAAATGTAAAATTCCTAACTGTGAATTTCTGGCACTTGCATCTTGGGTGAGTTTTGTTTGTTTTCACTTCTAGATGAATAGTCAGAGTTCCTTTGGAAATACACGTTTAACTACTCTTAGCCATATAGCTAGAAAGAAAAGCATACCATGCAGCCACCACTGCATGGTATGCTCTTAAGACAGTTAACAAAACTACCTTATTTACTATAAATTAAAGAAATGTAAGAAACTGTAACAAAAACAGCTGACTTTCATAGTTTATGAAATTCATCTGTGTCTTCAATTGGGAAACTCAAAGTAGGTTTCCACAAGTTCAACTGCTACATTGCTACATACCAAAAAAAAAAAAAAAAAAAAAAAAAAAATCTGGCAAAACCCATGATATTGGCAAAATATTTTTTTTTTTAGAAAGAGAATTGTGGCAGAAATGTTTAGTGGATTTTTTTCCTAATTCAGTCTTTGAAATATGCCTTTTTATGCACCTCCTGCAAATAAAAAAAAATACTTTTTGAGATGCATTAAATTATAAAAATGGTTTTGAAAAGCACTGAATAACCTGAAAGGAACTGCTGAAGAGCATCTCTGCATAAAACATAGAGCAGTTTAAGTATCAGCCTACTATAAATATATTAAAATGAAATTGTAATTAATCTAAATATTCAGGGTCAAGTAGCAAAGACCAAAATGGGACTAAACCTGTAAAAGTCTGTCAGGCAACATTACACTTAATTTCAGAACTGTTACTGATAAATATATGCCAACTTGCTCTAAGTTTAAACACAATCATGCAAAAGGGAGGGATGTTTTCTGAAGTCAGAGATCACCTTTTCAAGTTTTGGCCCAAAGGCATAATTCTCTGCAAAGGTGAAGAGTGTAATGAAGTTGTTTGACAAGTTAATGATTTTATAAATGCGTAAGTTCAGCTTTGCAAGGCCAAAAGTTTATGTTGCAAATAGGCAGCATTAGAAATGTTCTATTCACTTACAGCTCCTTCAATCATATAGGTAATCAGCTCATCTCAAAGCAATATTTGGAGATGACTGTTACACCAACACGTCAAAGAGCAGGTCACATGTATGTGTGTATATTCACACCTCCATTCTATTACTATATAACATACACTCCAGTAAGAGAGACTGCCAGTGCTAACACGAAGTTCAATCCTTGTTCTTAAAGTGACAAAATACTCCTTAGAAGAAAACAAAATCGACAGTAGGCAATTTCAGATCTCTCCTCACACCTCCCTCTTAAATAGGCACGTGCTACTGAAAAAAAGTTGTCTGTCTACCTCAGGTAAGTATGAAGTTTCTCCTGGACAAAAGCAAAGCAACTCAATATTACGAGAATCCCTTTTAACTGCAAATTTTCCAAGTAAAATATAATGCAATGTTACCTTTCTAAGCCCCAAGGCAGGTGGCTCTAATGCCAGTTCTTTTGTCACTCAGATTTCCCCAGAAGAAAACTTACGGTGGCATACAAATCAAATTTATTCAGAGATAAGTATTTGTGAATAACGTGAATAACACACTGCGAGTTAAAGTAGTAAATGAGCTGACATGTAAAGGAACTGCAGCCACAGCACTATAAAATCACACCCTACACCTCACCTTTCAAAACAGAACAGTTTCCCTGCCCCCTACTCCTCATGGCAGTGTTCCTCTTGAACACTGATGGCCCCCAAATATTAGAAATAATGAACAAGTGACTGTTAAAAGCTGATGAGAGAGACAAACAACTTCGGACACATGCATCCCAATAGCCTTTCTCTTCCTCACAACTTAAAAGGGAAAAGAATACGCTGTAGCTTCACTCAAGTGCTGTGCTGGTGGTGCTGGACAGGCAGTAAGGACGAGCGTCATATCCAAACTTGCTTCTGCCTAATACTGAGAGTTATAAAAATCTAGACCTTATCAATCATTACATTTCAATATGAGTAGGAATACTTCTCTCTTACTACCAACTGGATCATGTACCTAATACAACACGGAACCACATGTGAGTTTTACCCAAGAAACTTCACACAACTCATCTTCATCACTTCGAGGGCTGACTTAAGAGGAAACAAGAGGATCAGCAGAAGCCTCAGTGCAAACGATTAACCAGCAAAAAAAGTAGTTTCGTTTTTAACTCGGGGAGCTAGCTGGTAACAATCTGCCCCTACCCTAGATAAGTTTTCTATTAAAGATTAAACCCTACATAAGAGAGCCCCCTGAAAACTGGTGTCATTTAAACACCTTCCAAGAAACACGACCGTGCAGCACTTTGAAAAATACCAGACCCCGAGTATTCCAAGGATCCAAAATACTTCTCCTTGAAATCTCTACTAACCAACCTAAACAGAGCTACTAACTTCAGGCTGAGAGAGATTTCTATCAAGTAAGTGCAACAGTTAGTCCTAAATTGGGTAGGTCACATGAACACCTGTAAATGATGGGAGTAAAAACTGCTGCCGCTATAGTTGTCTTTACTCTTGTAATCTGTGCTATTAAGACTTTTAAACAGATGCATTAATAATTAGAAGGACCCCTTTTGTGTTTAACTCACATATACAAACTCACTGTATAGCCATGTAACAGACCTGTGGCCCAACGTGAAGTGAAATTCCACAGTCGGAATAAAAACTCAACCAGAAAAACCTTTTATTTTTTCCTTTAAGAAACATATTGACCAGTACGGCGCAGTAGCACATGTTGATAATACCCGAAACCATTCGCCATTCAAATTATTACCCTAGGTAGGCATTCTCTAAACATTTAGTACCAACTTTTTATCAGTTGGCATGCATAAAGTTTTGCAGAGCAAGTTGTATCCAATACAGAAACTTTTTCCCCTGAACAATCAGGTGATGGTCAGAATTACACTGTACTGTTATCTCATAGCTGGTTGTATACATAAGTTATTATACATAAGTAATGAAATAGAGACCCAAGCGTTCTTTTCAGGCAAAAAACAGGCTTTCATCAACTGCAATTAAAAGTTCCCATTGCACTAATGGCAATATTCCTGCAATTTTCCCCAATATCATAAAAATATGACACGCGGTCATCATTCTTCCTAAGTTTTTGTAAGATTCATTCTTCAGGTTAAATCTTGTTCGGTTTCCAAGGATACCCGAATACGTCACTTTTTACATTCCTTCTGTCTTAGCCTGTAGTCCATTTTTTCCAAAAAAACTAAAGGGAGGAGGCTGGCAGCCATCCGTGCTCTTTTGAGGGGTGTATTCTGCACCGCGGTCGCATTTTAGCTGGGCAGCGGGAAGGCCGGAGCCGCGGGGACGGACAAGCCGCCACC